TAATTAAAAAATATTATTTAAAATACAATATAAATATAAAAAAGATAATTAAAATGACAATTGAATCCCATTCAGAAAGAAAATAGCAGTGAAAAACTGAAAAACTTCAAAGTTTTAATGAAAATTTTATGAAAATAGAAAAATTAAAAAATTCAAATCATTTATTAATAAATCATTTAAAATTTGGAAATGATATGAGAGAATTCCAAAATTTAAAAATTAAAAAAAATTTGATGAAGAAATTTAAATTTCTAATAAGAGAATCATTCGGCGAACAAACCACAAGGCAGATTACCAATGCCACTAGGATTTTTTAGTAACAGGTTTAATCTTGTCGGCGTTGGCAGCCATTTCAGTATGGTCATCTAAATCTCCATCCGCTTGGCTATTCGATGTACCTTATAAATTAATAGTATCCAATGAAAGAAGGATATGAATTCGTTTTAAGCTCCACCGATCACTTGATTTTATTCTTCGAATGAAAATTTCATTTGTGCTAATTTTTGACGATTCTTATATATTCTATATAATACATCTATAAAAAAATATCTAAATAGCTGTTGTTAGCGGAGTGATAGCGGAGTTTAACTTTGGTGATGTACAAAGTAACCCATTCCTTCTTTTCCTCCTATAAAAATCCTGCCGGTTAGAAGAATTTTTGCTATGAATAGATTTACCCAATTTAGGCAATTATCCACTGAAATTAATCGCGATTCATAAAATTTCTTTCTTTATTCATGCGGAAAAATCTTTTTGTATTTATTGACTATACTGATAATCAGTTGTGAAAAATAAATCAATAAAAAAACTGGTGAATATTTGACAATTTTCGAGCTATAAGAATTTGTTGACCAAATTGCACCTTAAGATTAATTTTAATTTTCATACAAGATTGGATATGGTACAATTCCTGTGGATTTTATCGTTCAATTACAATGTCTTGGCTCACCTCTATGATAGAAATAAACAATAAATGACTTAAATACTGAGGAAACTACTGAAAAAGACTGAGGACTTTTAGTAGTTTTACGTAATTGAAGCCATAGTTTATAACGAAATTTGTAAGGTAAATGGTTTAGCCCTAAAATCCACTAATGAAAGTGTTTAACAGGCAGGTCAATTATGAAAATTGATCAGCTATTAACGCATTTCTGTGTGCGCTCTTCCATTCTTTGTCCATTCTTTCATCATTATATTATTTATTTACCAATAATTAATAACTGAGTGTTCCTGTGGAACTGATAAGTATTGCATATTTGGCCTTATAAATGGACTTATAGAAAATATTATGAATTGTTGATTTGAAATAATATTTAACTATTGGCTTACGTATAACTTTAATTTTAGCTCGATTTAACTTGTAATTGATTTATAATAAATAATTAAATTTTTTGCCAGATTCCTACTTGCTAGCCCACTAGGGATTGAAGTTTTAAAATGTTTCAGTGCGGCAATTTAAAATTAACCAATTTCTAAACTGTGCTTGTGATGCAGAAATTTTAGATTGGATTTTAGATTTACGAATCCTACAAATATTTTCCAAGAATTCGAAAATTCAAAATTTTCAAAAATTTAAAATTAAATTAAATTAACTTTAAATTAAAATTCAAAAATTTAAATAAATTCTGTTAGAGAATGGTTCAGTTGAGTTGAATTGATTATTAGAGCAGAATTTCCTTTTTACTTAAATTTTTGCATGGCTATAATTTTTTTTCTAAATGCCGACAGGATTCTATAATTCGAGTGATTTTTGATAAAAATTCAGAAAACATCGATATAAGATTTCATATTTAACTCTCCTTTTCGAGCTGTTACGGGTAATTTGTAAATTCGACACAATACTGCCATAGCCACGGATGAAAGAGGGTATAAACAAAAATGAAGATCGTATGAATCGAGAGATTCGGCAATTATCGCTTAAAAAATTTATTGTAAGTAAAGTAGAATAACAAGGAAAATGACATTTATTCATGACCACACGTAATTTTAATAAAGTGATAAGTAAGTGATAATAAAGTGATAAATAACTTCAATATCATAATGAAAGAAAAAAAAAAGTAAAAATGAACTAGCGAAATTAAAAGTCTAATATGGAATTAATTCTTAGATGCAGTTTGCAAACAAAAAAATGCTATGATTTATAAAATGAAATAAAAAAAAAAGGGAAAAACAATAAATAAACGAAACAATGAAATAATTTCATGTTTAAATGCAAATTTATGTGCAAAAAATATACAGAAAAATCAGAAATAATTTTTATTCGTCCATTCCGAATAAAATTATTTTCACTGTGCGAGTATATAACGCTAAGAGGCATGTCAATACGTTGAATAATAACTATTATATTATATGGAATTGTATAGAAACTAAGACGATATTAAGGGAAAAAAAGCTGAAGGCAACCTGATTCTGTGAAGTAAACACTCCCTTTAGGCTAATTTTGAATAAATTAAATCTCTCAGTAATAAAATTGGGTCGATTCAAATCACTAATTCCTAATTTACAAAATTCTCAACAGTAATCAGACTTATTAAATTTTACGAAAGTCAGCACTTGGTCTCATTCCTACGGCTCTGCATTTTTCGAACCTGCAGGATATGATAGCCACCTAAAAAATTTAAAATATGTAATTTTATAAATTCACTGACAATCTATCATCTATCGCCGATCAGGAATATCGTCTAAGAAATTAAAAAATTAAAAAATTTCCCATTGGAATGGATGAGCGAAATAAGCCCATCTAAACTTTCAAGAACTTAAAGATAGCCATTTCTATCTCATTGCTAAGATTCTTGGAGAATATAATAAAGAAAATTTCCAAATGAAAATTGTTTTGAAAATTAAATGGCTATGAAACTTCCCTGCTGAATAACAAACTACGACTGTGGTATCGACAGAATTTTAAAAAATTGAGAAATTGTACCTTTTCTTTAACGATTTCTTATTTGAACAACGAGCGGTCGCTCCTTTCTTCAATAGATTACCCGTATTGTTGGAAGCAATAAAGTGTTCTGAAGGTTGAGAAAGACTCGACGCCACATTTTTTAGCAATTCCTCATTCGTAAAATTATGGTGCGCTTATGGTGCGCTAATATATGAATGCCGCAAAGTATATATAAAATTATTTTTTGAACTATCTGATCTATTTCAAGGGAAAATTTTAATATGTTATTTTCTTATTTGTCCAATGACAAGCCAGTGGAACGAGTTTAACTAGTGATGGTGAGAATTCTCAAAAAAAAAGTTCACGTACTAAATAATTCCAAAATTAATTTTCATGCCTTTATCAATCCGTACAATATTCAACGTGTTAGCGAACCTCTTAATGGGATTTATCAAAACTTAGTTAGTGGCAATAATTTTATTTGAGATGATTGAATATAATTTCTCATTTTTTTATGTATTTTTGCATATTTGAATTTAAAAATAAATTATTTTATTTTAATTTCGTTTTCTTGATTTCTTTTAAATTTTATTTTCTTTTTATTCATTTTATAAATTTTAGCATTTTGCATTTATAAATTGTATCTTAGAATTTGATTTAGTCTTTTAAACACAAATAAATGCCTTTTCTCTATGATAAAATCAAAATTGCCTTTATAACTTGGTAATTACAAATCAAATTTATTTTTCAAATGGATGTTTTCTGCAGAAATATATTATTATATATAATATAATATAAAATCCTCAAAATAAGAATTTATGTTCACTGATAAGAATTTGATGCATTTGATAACTAAAAATCTTTATCATTTTATAAATTGTCTATCAAAAAAGAAGAATGAAAATATTTTCTATGGTTTTCTATGTAATAATCTAAACATTCATTTTCAATCACTTATTTACCGTGTTTATGATCCAATTTCAGCGAAATTTCCAGGTTTATTCCAAATTTTTCCAAATTAGAATATTTTATTTTTAAAAATCCCTTCTACAGTTTTATTTTGCAATGATTTTGATAATGGTTTTTGTTTTTAGCTATTCAAAAGATGCATTAGTACATTCTCTTCTCTTCTTTTGTACAATCCATTATATAGGGCGTCATGAAGAACGCTTTATAGAACGCTTCCGCCATCATTACTATACTCTTGCAAATAGTCTTTATTCCGATATCGAAGAGAATATTATCAAAGAACGCTTGCAGCAATGATATCGATGAAAATTCATAAATGTTAAAATAATTTTGAACTTTTTTTTTTAAATTTTTTTGAATTTATATTTTTCATTTTTGAAATATTTAATCTATTTTCCCTTCAACGTTCCCTCAAATCTGCTAATTTTTTCATAATTTCTTAACCAACAAATATTATTTACAATCGATTACGAGCATTTTCGTACATTTCTGGTGACGTTCCTTGCTTTTATGGTGTTTGATGTTTGTTGTTTAATAAATTTGTCTTAACGCTTATAATGTATTTTTCATAAATCACCACTTATCAAGATTCATTTCTTTGATCGAATTCTTACTTATTTAAATAAGCGACCAAAACAGTGGCTTAAAAATTTTTCAATATGAATTATAAGCAATATTAACAAATAATAAGTAACAAAGAGGTCAAAGAGGTTATAATACGAGGTTATAACTGTTATGCTCGACTCAAATATTATAAATAACGGCAATATCCGAAATTATAGATTATATACGCTATCACGCCAAAAAATAAAGGCAACTGGGAAAGGCAAATCAAAAGAAGAATTAAAATTTTCGTATTGCAAAATTTTTATCTTAGAAAAAAGGCCAAAAAAAAGTAATTTTTCGATGAAGCATCGAGAAGTTATTATTCCAGAAAATAGAAGTAAAAAATTCAAAATTAAAACCTTTCTAGAATAAAAAAAGAAAAGTTAGTGAAGAAGTTTGATTTAAAAGGTGGAAGAAGTGAATATAAATTCCACAAATTCCAATCGAAATCAAAAACTATTATGACACTGCAATAATTTTTATGGCAAAATTTTTAGTGATAATATTGATGACTAAAATAAATAAGAAACAGACTGAAAATTTACTGGAAAAGGCGAAAAAAGCTAAGTGCAAGTTCAAAGCCTAAGAAACATGCAGCATTAGCTGGAAAAGCACGTAACATTACAGGCGTAAAACCTTTGAACAAAGCTCGAGGTCCTTCTTCACACATTACTTCGCGAAAAACTCCACGAATTCCTAAATTTAGCTGAATGCTTCTTAATAACGAAAATGAAATCACAGTTATTTTAGAATTTAAAAAAAAATAAAGGAAATGAAAAGATTCAATTTTGAAGTCACGCATTCGCATCGCGTTTATCCCAACTTATTAGAAAATAAAAAACAAAATCGGGCTAATTCTAAAAAGAAATATGATATATAAAAACATGACATAAAACATTTTGAAAAATTAAATACCATCTGGATATTTGCCTTCGGGAGCAGTTTGTAATCGAGATTTCAACACATCTGGCGGTAGGCAAACTGCCCAATTTGCAATGCCAGCAAATCCACCAGCGGTTAAAGTTGCCAAAGGAGAAAGTGTTCTTTCTGGACCCGCAAAAAGTTTTTTCAGATATTCATATGTCATTAAATACATTCCACTTGCAGGAATATCTAAAAATAAGCAACCAGTAGAAATTACAATAATAAATATTATTTTTAGACCATTTATAATTTCATAATTTCAACATGATCGCATACACCTTTGTTCAAATATCACTAAATAATGCATAAATAATGTCACAGAGCATCTCCTTCGCTGGTTAGGGCACGTTCTCCGTCGTCCAACACAGGAGTTGATATATATTTCGTTACTTGTTAAGCCGTGTGATAGGTGGTATCAAAAGCGAGATGGGCCAATCAAGACCTGGACTGATACGATTAGAAAAGTTTTTGATCATATAGGTGGACCAGCAATATATAGACTTAAAAGATGGAAAAAGGAATGGCTTCTATTACTGTAGAAGATGGCATCAAACCGTGCCGTCTTACCATTGTGGTGAGAGCTGTTAGAAGAAGAATTTCAAAATATTTTTATATTATAGAAAAAAATCTCAAAAGAAATGAAAAATTTAGATATAAAACTAAGAATCTAATATGATTAAAAAAACAAAAGAACTAAATTCTTCAGATGAACTAAAACTGAAAGCAATTATGCGAACCTTAAATACGAAAAATAAAAAAAAGAAAAGGAAAAATTTGAAAGCAGCAAGTTTTTTAGTTGCTCTATATGATATGAAAAAAATGGAAGATGGAGAAATAAAAATATATCGAACCACGCAGAAGTGTAGCCGCTGTACCCCTGTAAAGACTAGTGATACCACCTTGTTTATATAATTTTTTAACAACATCCAATGGCCCACTATATGTAGCACATTCTTTAAGAGCGTTTCCTGATTGCTGAACCTGAAAAGATTTATTTTTTTAATATAAATATTCAATATTTCTATTCCTAATATTTTTATTCCTAATATTCATTCGCAAAATACAATATGATAAAATAATTTACTTGCAAAAGGCACTTAATTCGTTCACCAGGTACCATAATAATAGTAGTGAAAATTCCAGCTAGCGCACCAGAATTAAAATTTTGCAAATTTGTCATTTGTTGATCGGGTGATTTTTGTTGCAACCATTTACCCAAAGCACAACTTCCAAAATAAATAGCAAACAAAGGAGAGACGCCGATTAAAGGTGCTAACATACCCTGAAAATTGTTTTAGAAAATTCATAAATATTTTTACATTTATTTTTGGCTGAATTATTTTTTATAGCTATTTTTTTACTTACTTACTATACTTTTTGACTGGCTGCTGGAGATCCATCCGCGCCTCTATCTTCAAATAATTTTTAGGCAAAAAAATTCTTATACTCTAGTGGTTCTCAGTTGCATTTACAGGAACAATTAAATGGTCATCTCATCCATAGAAAATAAAACTAAAAAAAACAAAAACGTTTGGTGATAGCAATTTGATAACAAATATTATCACTGTAAATAAACAATAAATTATCATAAAAAAATAATTAAAAACAAAAAAAAAACAAAACAATAAAAATTAATTCCTCTAATAATAAATTTTTGGCAATACTTAGTAATCATTAGAAAAACAAAAAATCTACCAAATAAAAAATAAAAAAAACATAAAGCAAACTTTATAGAGTGTAAAAAATCCTTCTTTTTGAACCGTTTTTCGTAGGCAATCCAAAGGACCAGTGTAGAGCGGTTGTTCGCCGTGTGCTGGTCGTGGCATTGTTTGTATTCGTACTTTTATAGTATCAAACGGATGACCCGTAGCAACACAACACATACCGCCAAATCCACCAGCTATAAAATGTTCTAAAAAATTTTGATTTGAACTCGACATTTCACTTTTACCTAAAAAGAAAAGATTCAGTTCAATTAATAAAATTTTTTAAATGTGAAAAATACTAAAAGTGTTACGAATAAAAATAAATAAAATTATCTACTACACTATAGGGAAATGCTTTAGGGTGTGCCAAAAGATTTTGGAAATAAATAATAATTCTTAGTTATAAATTATAAAGGACTCATTTAACTGATAAGATCATTGCCACAATTATCAACTGATTATCAAGATTACGAGACCTTAATGGCGCAATGCAAATCAAAATGTATTATTTTAAGAGCATTTTAAAAGTAAAATCTAAAAGTTATCAGTAAAGACTATTTAGTTAAACATTCTTATCATTCTTAACCAAAAAAAATGTATAAGTATACAGATTTTCAAAAAAATCTGAATGATCCTCGGACGATTAAAGCGTAACACACAATTGCCAATTGTCAATCACAGAAAAGAATCCTCTGACATTGTCAATTTAAAGCTACCATAATTAACTTTTATCTTTCACTATGGCAAACTCATTGAGATATGCTTCCACAATTTTTCAATGAGTAAATTCAAATGAAAATGAAAAAAAACAACTGTAAGAAATTTTATGAATGAAAAATTATTGCAATAATCTTTCGCTCTTTCTATCCTTTTCATGAAATATTAAAAGTGATAATAATAAATTCATTCGCTAAGCGATGAAAATGCCTTAAAAGGCCTAAGTTTATCAGATCGAAAAACATCCCTGCTTATTAAGCAATGCCTAAATAATTTTCAGAATAACATTCAGAATCTCAAAATTATTAGAAATTTTTTCAATTACATGAAATTACATGAAATAAAAAAAAGGAGTTTAAAAATTTTTTTAAAATTTTTAAAACTTATCTATGATTGAGTGAACTTATAATATTCCATGACTAATATTTTGTTTATAAAAAAAGAATGTGGAAAATTGGAATAAATTCGAAACCAAAATATATGTGAAAAAGATCACTCAATCATAGATCACGAAACTACAAAAATATACCAAAAGAATGGTTCAAATAGTACCACTGCACCAAATAAATCAGTTTCTTTTTGTTAAATAAGCATTTTTATAAAATAATCATTTTCATTTTAAACTACACATATCAAAAAAGACAAGAAATCATACTAACATCAATCGTTCTGCAGCACAATTACTTTAAATTTTTTCCATTTTTAATAAAAATGAATTAATTCCTATTGAATTATTGAAATCGACTCTCTCACCATAATCAATATTTTGCCATGAATTGCCAGCAATAACGAAATTTAACTAAGAAATTTTGAAAAAAGTTCGCTCCAAGAAAAAAAAAAGGAAAAATTTTTGCAACACTACACACTAACACTAACACTCTAAAGCCTTTAAACTATAAATCAATCGAATAAAAAATCACAAAGAGATCACGAAATCAAACGGTTATATTAATGATGGCCCAGGCAATAAATTTTCAAACTTATTTATAAAGAGGAAATTATAAAGCACTATTTACAATTACACAATTACATTTATAATTACAAAATAACTGCATCAATTAATCCACAACAAATGTTCTAATAATAATAATTACTAATAAAACAGATTACCTGGGCCGATGATTTGGAAAAAAACAGCGAAACGAAAAAAAGGATTATGGAAAAATAGATAATAAAAAAGTGCGAAAGTATAATTACAATTCCGTGAAATTTTACAAGATCATCTAAGTGAAGGAAGAAGTCCTTCTTGAAACAAACGCTCCTTTAACGATTCATATATGAAGATTTGATCTTCGTCAGGCAACAACATTAACTGCTGTAGAAGTTTGTTTGCACTTGGAACCCTATAAAAATATATGATATTCGTGCTTGAACAAGTAAAAAATGGACGAGGGCCGAAAAATGCATGAGGTCGAAACTGTAACTTAAACCATACTATGTCCAACTTAGTCAATTACCGCAGAATCAATCTTGCCTTCTCATACTGCTCAAAGGGGTTATGAGAGTGTGAAAACAGGCAAGAAATGACAGTGAAAGAAAATTTTCATCATATTCGAAAAAAAGAATACTTAATAAATGTATGAATGTAAACATTCACAAATGTCCCCATGAGTAGTTGACAATCAAACCGATCCATTAAGCCTCCGTGACCGGGAATTACGTCTCCAAAATCCTTGAAAGTAATCAAATATATATCAAGGGCTGAAAAAAAGAGGAGATGTGGAAAGCAAAATTAATTCCAGTGATAAATGGAATATTTGAAACTGCGATCTTTAAACTATAAAAATAGCTTTAGCGAACTTCACGGATAAAATAAGAGATCCCTATCCATATTTCCATCCAGAAGAGTACAATGCTAGAAACAGCTAAGATACTGCGAAGAATCTCAATCTCCCAGGTAAAAGATCCGAAGTTCAGGATGATTTTTACCACCCACAGAAGGTGGAAAAGCGATTTATACATATATACACATATTTTTATCATTTCATATTTTTTTTTAAATTTTAAAGAGCTTCACATAAAAATCCTTGATATATGAAAAAAAAGTGAAGACTGAAAAACCGAAAAGAACTGGAAAAAAATTACCTTGATTTTGAATGCTCTTTTGAAGCCACTAGCAAAAAATCCTCCGAATGGACCAAGGATTGACGCAAACAATGCCATAATAATCGTATGACCAAGAAATGGATACATATGAAATGAGGGCGACTTCTTGATCACTTTAAAGAACCAAGAGAAAGGACGCCCCAATTGAAATTCCCTTAATTTGCTTCAAATGCCATCAAATATTTATTTAATTTAAATTTTTTAATTATTTAATTTAAATTTTTTATATTTAATTTAATATTTAATTAAATTTTTAATATTTAATTTAAATATTAATTGCCTTATTAATAGTTAATAAAACTAAATTATAACTAAAAATGGAAAAACAAAAGCAAACTTGAGCTGAAAAATTGAAGGAATTGTACAGTTGTTATGATTTTCTTCAGCGATATCTTCCAATGGACATACGAAAAAAGGATCGCGAAGAAGACAATAAGAAAGCTATGAATAACCATCATAAGGCAGGGAAAAAAAAGATTTACATGTTACTATTTGGTATTAAGCGAATTCTTCTGATTTTATGCCATGTCAGAGATTTAATAGCATATCTTTGGTTTGCATTACTCCAGTGATTATTGTGAATACTGTGAGACCTTTTCGCCGGAAAATCATCTAGGGAGGCGAGAATCGCATATAATTCATAGAAGTTTCAATTTGATTTTCTGAGTCACCCGATTTGCTAAATACGTTAATGAAAATTCGAAACCGTCTTTAAATCTATACAAAATCTTATGAAGTCAGGAGTCGATATACATTATATACATAGTATTATAAAGCATGAAAATATTGTTGTGAGTTAGGTCCCACTGGTGCTCAATTCTCAGTAAGAAACTAATAAAAAAGAATAATAATAACATGGCAATGCTTTCCACGCTCTTCGTAATATGAAGTCAAATTTGACAAAAATAAGTTCGATATGAAGAAAAACAAAAGAATGTTAGAAAATGCGATGAACATGGCGATTAAGTCTCTTTCACAGATGGCGTTAGCAAGTTGAGATATATCAACCAATTAATGAAACGTACCAATAAGCCAAAGACAATGGTACTGATTCCTCCACCAATAAATCCTTCCCAAGTTTTCTTTGGAGAAAGTTTGATTAGTGGTGTTTTCCCAAAGAAAAAACCAAATATGTATGACATTATATCACAACAAATTATCATCGAAACAGGAACAAGGAACCTGAAATAGAAAGAAAAATAAAATTTCGGACAAAAACCAATTTCAGATTTGAAAATATTTTAATTTCTTAGCAACCCTTTTGACAATGCAATTTCAAAAAAGAATTTTACCAGATAATTCCTTGAAAGATATTTTGAATGATCATAAATGATTGAGAAACGATTAGCAAAAGTGTAACATGAGTCCAAGCGAACTGAAACCACCTGATGTGGATAAAATAAAAGCCAATTAAATACGAGCATAAATATTCAAATTCAAATTACCTCGTCATCTTTTACAATTTTTTAATATTAGATGATTGTAGCAAAGCAATTCTGTTCGCAATTTCAAAGATGGTAAGATAGTAAGACATTGCGATAATTATCAAGGAATCAGCCCACTAGACATCTCAACAAAAATTTTTGCTTCCTTTCCACTCAGCAGACTTATGTAGTAGAGGACGGCACGAAGCATCCTAATCAAACTGGATTTAAACCGGCATACGATTATGTTGATCAGATATTCACGCTAATGAGAGTATCGCTTCAAATATCGGAAACCTTGTGTATCATCGATTTAGCAACTGCCTTTAATGGTGCTTTGGAGGATGATGGAATGTGATGCTGTTCCAAAGATCATTCAACCCAAAAAGGTATTTTACCAGCGTAGATCTGTATATATGAAAATGACAGACTCTTCAGAAATGATGTAGAATAGAAATGATGTCCGTCAAGATTACGTTCCTTCCTCTACAATCAGCAATACGATAATGGATATCGCTTAAGAGCACTCAGAAGGAATATAATTCAGTCCAAGACATGGTAACACAGATACAATAATGATTTAGTCCTTTTTGTTGGCAGTTATGATGAAATATAAAAATGCTGACAATCGCAGCGAAAATCAGATTTATGACTGTGATCAATGTAAATAAAGCGAAAATCTTTGCGCCAGAAAATGATAAAATACCTATTTTTATCAATTCATTACCAGTTGGAAAAGAGTCAGATTGAATATCTTGTATCCACTCCAACCAGAAACAGTCGAGCGAAAGATGAAATTACATTCCAAATAAGGATAACAGAAATATGCTTTTTCGCTTGACGAAACCTTTATGGAATCGTCATGAAATCCTACAAAAACGATGATTCGCGACTATATAGGTGCAAATCCGGTAGTGCTATATGGCTGCGAGATACCGATGAGAGTGGAAGACATTAAGAAGTTACGTGTCTTTAACCACTCAAGTTTAAGATACTTTTTAACCAGATAGATAGAATCTCATATGATTCCATTCACCTCTGCTCAAATACCACTTCCATTATGTTATGTTAACAGTATCATTATACAGTGTTGTCTTCGCTTTTCCAAGACCTAAATTGTTGCAGTCAGGAAAGATCTGGAATTTGTAGACCAGAGATATATGGACTTATATGATGGAAAAGACTTCTATTATCTTTTTTAATGGCACTATATAGAACAGCTTGGAAAAATCTTAATATCTTCAACTTAAGCAGTAGTGGTAAGAATTGTCAAAAGAAGAAGAAAGAAATAAATACCATCCTTAAAATAAAAGATATATTAAATAAAATTTAAACAAATGAAGAAAAAAATCACCAAAGAAAATTGGCGCATATAATAGCCTTTGCGCAAGGAAAGTACGAACCAAACGAAACCCAAACAATATAGTAAAAAACTTATAAATCGATGATAGACAATAAGGAAATGAAGAAATTCCTAAATAAAATTGATTAAATGATTAAGTGAATTCTGAATTTTTGTAGAATTTTACTTATACCATTCTAGTACACCGATGGCTTAATAAAAAAACCACCGAGAATCGAGTCGAATGGCTAAGGACTGGATTCGAATCTGGCACCATGCACCACACTTTGTTTGGTGATAATAAGCAGTGAAAGAAAGTAAGAAGGTAAATGGAAAAGAAAGAAAAGAAAATCAAATAGCTCAGTGGGTTGGTGATAAGTTTGCAGTGTCGACGCTGCATGTTCGGTAGAAGGTAAGATTTCAAAAATAAAGGTTGCTGACTAAATGACTATCGAATCATCTGTATTTCTATCTCCAAGATACTCCCCGGCAAAATTTATCTTGTCCGACAAACCAGCGGACAAGAAAGTTTAACCAGAAATGATGAGCACTCGTAAAAAGAGTCAATAAATATTTATTAGATATGTTTATAAATTTTTTTGAATATATCGTCAGAAAAGATATAAAGATATAAATAAAAGAAAAATGGAAAATACTAACATCTTTCCGGAGAAGAATTGCCCAGCGTTCAATAAGACTTTCGCCAAAGAAGAAATAATTTGATGATAACAGAAAATACCACGATAAAGCTCTAAACCACGGCAAATCGTATAAACGATAAATAACTAATCCGATTGAAATAATTTCATGGAAACACCAAAACTGAATTACGAAGACCTGAAAAATGCAGCTGAACTTAATCCTTCTACATTTTACATAAATATACAAATAATAAGCAAAAATTTAAAAAAATTTTCGATCACGAAATAAATTTAAAATAAATTTACCTTACCAATATTTAATAATTAATATTTTTAAAATACCAGATTATGATAGTTTTAATGATAGTTTTATCTCAACTATACAAACTGGATTTATATTAGAATATTGATATTGATTTAGATTAATTTGGAAACAAAAAAAAGCATGCCAGTGCCATTAGCCAAGTTGGTCCAAGTTTGATTATATATATAAAAAATGAAACCATGAGAATCGAGAATATTCCACGAACAATCCAATTACGCCATCTGAAAAATAAATAATTTTAATAAAAAGATAAAGATAAGAATATTTTATGAATATGAAAACCCTTTATGTTTACCGTTGAGGAAGATTTAATAGAACTGAATCGACACAACAACCCAATGTATCTGATCCTTGCGGAATAGATTTAGTCAACTGAGCTAATCTATAAAAAAAGAAAAAATAAAAAAATATAAAAGAAAGAGTACAAAAAAGTATATAATAAGCAAAATAACTAGAAAAATAAAAAAACAACTACAAAAACACCACTGAAAAATAAACCACAACCGACGAATAAAAAATCTGAAATAGACAACTTACTTAACAGAGATTCCTTGGCTGTAAATTAATTTATTAAAACATAAATTAATTTGAATAAAAAAGAAATTTATTTTTTTTCACTTAAAAAATTTTAAAAATCTTATAACTCAAATGAACTTATGAAATATGACTTTTCTAATAACTCACAGCAGTTCTGGTTTCCACTAACTAATTATTAGAGTTGTTTTATAGGAATATTTTGGAAATAAAAAAATAAAAAACGACTTCTATTACTATCAGCGATGGCAAAGACCAGCTTGGAAACACCTTATCCTTATGACCAGCGGAACCCGACAAATTCGAAATGGTGACAGCTGTTAGAAGAAGAAGCCAATCAGTCCAAACAATGAATATTTTCCTACTAGAAACGAAATTGTTCAGGTTCGACTTTAAGCGGAATCGACCAACAAACATCTCTCATATTTTCTTATTTTTTTGAAAACAATTTCGTTATTTCATTTTTTATGAAGAAATTATTTCGCTCTTTCCATACCAATTATTTTCATTTTATTATAAATTGAAGCTAATTAATTGTTATTAAAAAATTTATATATAAATAAATAAAAAATAATTCAAAATCCAATGAATCCATCGATTTGAGTGAAAAAAAAAATTTTAGCCAAACAATCGACTCTCTTTTTGCTTTTGCTCTTTTCAATTCTTATAAATGCAAAATTTATTATTTTCCAGGCAAATTTAAAAATCTAATGCAAAAGAGATTTATACTAACGTGAATGAAATTTCTACTTATTTATTTTTAGCAATCAATACTGAAAGGAAATCGAAAAAAAATCGACGAAACAAATTCTCTGCCTATATAAATCCTATAAAAAGTGAACCTATAAAAACTATAAAAAAAGACCTATGGCGATTTTTCAGTACCAATAACCGTAACCACCCTAAGTAACGGATAACCAACGTGTACAAATATTTTAATAGAAAATTCTGGAAAATACCCCAAAGGAGTATTCTCTGCATAATTTAACTTACTTCTCGCCTTCGATTAAAGTATCGGCGTCACTTTCATCGGATGTAGCGCGAACTTCTTGCGTTGTACGACGACGATACGACGATGACGACGACGGTGACGATGACTGTTCATCTCTTTTAATATTTTCTTCGTCTTTACCAAATCCGCGTCGTTCTCTTAAAGTATTTTCCGATTCCATCTATAAAAAAAAATAAGCCTCAATATAAATTTAAGAAAGTATACAGAAAATAACCGACGAGCCGAAGACGACAGTTAAAAATACCAAAAAGTCGACGATTTTCCACTTCACTTATATTGAAGTCCGAAAAATTTTCTTTAAACGTGAATGACGTAAATGCATTTCAATATTTACGTGCAATTTCATGTAAGCGTGAACGACGTGGAAAAAAAGTCGACGAAGAACGAAGTGCCGCTAAAATAAAAAATAAAAAAGATTGGCGCAAGAGCGTTGTTATTGTTGCGATGCGCCGACGCTTGAATTCCATTTTCGGCAAAATTAGGCGCCGATTGAAAATCTAAAAATCGAAATGAGTGAGGTGGGCGACTCGAAATTCTCGGCTAAAGTAACCTCCGAGTTGTAAGAGACATAAAGAGATTGCGTTTTAACGTGGCGTGACGACTTATCGCTTTCGATCGCTTACTCGGAACATTCTTTTTCTTTGGCAAAATTTCTCCAATCTCGATAAGCGAAAAAAGCCAATGAAACGAATCTAATCAGAAATCAGAAATCTTATCAGAAATGATAAAAATTCTTCGAAGAAAGAAGAAAAAACAATATGTAATAATTTTTAAAAAATTTTTAAAAATTTTTAACAAATCTAATAATTTGAAAAATTTAAGAAAAAAAACGAAAATCAATTTGTTTTTGATAATTTTTTATAGAAAAATAATTTATAATTTTCATAATATTTGTTAATAGTTTTATTAATTTACTTTTATTTAAATTAATAAAAAATAAAAAATAAAAATAAATAAAAATCGAAAGACGAAATTACGAAAGAAAAGCTTAAAATGAGAGAGGAAAAAGAAAAAAGTGAAAATTTTGCACGAAAAATTCGATTGCTAAAATTCTTGAATTCTCGACGAGAAGCAAATACGAGAGAAACGAGAAAATAAGTAGAAATTCGACGAAATGAGATGAGATGAGATAAAACCAAATGCGATGAAAGGGATAAGATGAAATGATAAAGAATGAGATGAAAGAGATTAGGTGGTGGTGAGAGAGATCGGATGAGATGAGATAAGAAAGATCAGGAGAAAACGAGAGAGATCGATGAGTATGAGAGAGACAAAATGAAATATGATGAGAGGGATGAGATGAAATGATATGAAAACGGGATGAGATTATATGGAGGTGAGAGAGAGGAGATGAAATGAGAGAGATCGAATGCGGATGAGAGATGAGATTAACCGAGATGAGAGAGATCACATGAGGGAAGAGAGATGAGAGAGATGCGATAAAATTGGCTAAGAAATAATCGACGAAATAATTCTCGACGAAGAGATTTCATCCTTAATATTATTTTTTTTTTTATATTTAAAATCGAATTTTTATTTTCAAAATAAGAAAAAAATGCCACGAAATATTAAATATAAAAGGTTTCTTTTTTCTTTAAAAATATTTATTTTCATTAAAATTATTAATTTTAATTGATTTAATTAATTTTAAAAAATCTAAAAAATGGAAAAAAAAATTTTTTAAAAATTCTTTTAAATTGAAATTTTTCATTTACGCAAAAAAAAAATCAAAATTACGGACCGTAAAAAAATGGGAAATATACGGCCCGCGTTTTAATTATTTCTAGATTTTTTCATGAAAAAATTTCACTCCAAAATGAAAAATGAAAAAAAAAATGAAAAGGAGGAAAACAGTGAAAATCTTCTTTTCACGACATTTTCCATATACGTCATTTCCGTTTTGACTTGATTTGCTCGTTGGATTTTTGCTTGAGGAATCATCTTCCGTAATAGGAGTGCAACGATGAGTGGCGCTAGCGCAACTCATCGCCTTTCGATTCCGATTTGACGGATCAGACGAAATTTTGCCTAGCAGAAGACTCTCGTTTAAGCAATTGGAATAGTAAACAAATGCTAAGTAGTAGATTAGCATAACCCGCAATTTTGAAAAAAAAAAACGCGAGACGATTCATCGTCGTCGAGAATATTGGAATCGAACCTCGGCATTAGCGCTCCGAAATGCGAGCAATGACGCACTGAGCCATATTTTGCGTCGATTGCGTAGATAAGTGAGTTTTTTTGGTGATTACTTAGGGTGATAATGGTTTTTTGATGAAAAAACGCTAATTTTTTAAGACATCGACGAAATGAATCGACGAAAATCAACGACAACGATTTTAACGATGGAATATTTTCGAGTTGGAAATTAGGACTCGTCGTTGCAGTTATAATTTTATGCTTTGCAGTACTTTATCCAAATTTTATAAGTCCAATGTTTTCATCGTTTTTCGCTTCACGTTCAACGACGCAACAACAAAAAATGGCACCAAATCGACCACCGATATATCCAACAATGAATTCACCACGGAATCGACCTGATATACATCCAGGTTCTATTTATATTCTTTTAAATACTATGCATGATATACACGATGGTTCCACTGGCGTGGATGTTGGATTCGAAGCTCTGAGCTGGGCGCACCACTTTTTGTCGAGCGACACTATCGCCTAACGGAGAAAAGCAGGAAGAAGTGTCGAATTCGGAGCGCCAATGATGACTCTCGGCAGGAGTAAACCTGTCGAAAAATTCGTGTAATACAGGCGACTCACCTCTACTTATTTGTCAGCCGAATCTAGTTTTTCTTGTTTATATTGCCTGAACCGTGAAAGGTCAAAAGTTCTTTTCGGCAAATGATTTTGATTCTGAACAAAGCGAATTGTGTCTCAATTATTGGCAAATGGCAACGGTTTGGACTATGCTTAGCATCTCTTGTTTTGTCTTTTGTTTTCCTCTTGTCTTATCGGTCATTTTATCACTTTTATTGTCATTCTTATCATAATTATTAAATAAAATTTTAAAAATTTTAAGGTATGCGAAATATTCAAAATGAAATCCCAACTACATCGAGAGGAAATTTCGCTTGGTTGCTTCCAATTTATACAGTTGGAGTTGTGGCTTTTCTAATTTATACATTGGTTAAGGTTGGTTTTCAGTTTTTATTTTTATTATTTAAAAAAGGAATAGGAATATAAAAAGGAATATATATATGAATATGAATATAAAAAATCTCTTTCTTACCTTCTGTGGATGGTAAGGATCATCCTCGACCTCTTCCAGAGGCTCAGAGGCCTGAGAGATTGAGGGTTTCGCACAATATCTCGATAAAAATCCTTAATGTTGTTGCTGGATTCTGCTGGAGCCACTTTTATAGTTTAAGGAAGGTTTAGTTCTTCCTAATGCTCCAGTTATCTCTGGGATTACATTGGTTTTCACTTTCCAAATATTCTCTAATTCCTTTTTCAGTCCCTTATATTTTCTAATTTTTCTTATTTCTTCTTCATTTCATTTGGTATTGTTAAATCTATCATTAGCGCTCATTTCTGATTCTTGTATGTTACTACGATATCTGCTTGATTGGCCAGTATTTATTTGCCTATTTGATTGGAAAGGCTTCTCAGGATCTTCGGCTTTTATTGTTGTCCATGACCAATTAGTTTATCCAGAAATGGTGAGCGCTAACCACTTATGGAGTGAAATTCTGCGCATTGGCAAAACTAAGTGGTATTTAGAGTTGAATATCGGATTCTACGCTGGATAACTGGAAAAAATGCTTCTTAAGCAAGAATTGTCAAGGACAAGATAGCTTCCTCATATATTCCTATAAACTATATCTTTAAAAACTTTATTCTAGTCTCGTCGAAAGAAACGTCGTCGAATCGATTATTCCTCACATGAAAGTGAAAATTCTTACGAAGATGAAACAGATGATCAAGACATTGGATTCCATGGCATAGGTTTTTTTATATATACATTTCGACTAGTTTACCATGAAATACAATTGAACAAGTACCATAAGGATTGTAAGAGTGTTTGATTAGTATTTTTGGTACTTGTAGACGATTTTTTATTGTCACATGGTAACTAAGCTATTTGGCTATTTCACTGTTTTTCTTTTATTTGTAGGTATTATATTTTTATTATCAAATAGGACAAATATCTTCGCTTATTTGAATAAATATGAATAATTAATGCTTAATAATTATATGAATGCTTTATTATTAGAAATTCCAGATTTAATACTTTTTGCGTAAAAAAAACTGACTTAAACTGACCGACTTTTTAAATTTTAAAAGTTATTAAAGTAGAAAATTGATAAAGCTGCCAAAAAATTAAACATTTATTAAATTTTTGTAAAAAAGAATAATTATACTGGTCAAGATAGCTTAAGATTGCTTGACTTGGCTTATTAGATGGAATGTCGTGTTTTCAACCGGTGTGCGAAACGCCTTTAGATTAAAAATATAAAATAATATCGTGAATAATTTCTATTTAATTTATTTTTAAAACTAAAAAATTATTCTTATTATAGGAAGAAAAAAACTGAAACATCTTCAAGAGCGCTTAAAACAAACCGAAATTGCTATGGAAAAAATACTATTGCAATTGAATACATTATCATCGGAATCGAAAAATATCGACGAGAAAGAAATAATACAAAAAATTGATGAAAATTCTGATAATGATTCTGAAAAGAAAAGGATAACTAAAGAAGTTATTACGGAAACGAATTTGAAAGATCTGGAAAAAGTTTGTTGTATTTTTTATCTTTAAATTTTTAAGATCATATTTACATATTTACATTATTAGGAAATTTCTAATGATTCATTAAATTTCTCGTTTTTTTCATCAACTAAAATTGAATTTAAATTTTTTCCTCATAAAATATATTTGAAATAGCAAGAAATTTTATAAAGTATAGATTGAGAATAGATATACACGTGAGTCCTAGGTAATCATCCGAATTTCACCTTTAATTTTGCGGAATTCAATACCATTTTACCTGCCTTGAATTAGCGTAAAATATCAAGAAATAAAAGAAGTTCTAATTAACAGGCACTTCGCGAATTTAAACAACTATCAAATAAATATAAGAAAAAAGAAGAAAGAAATGAAAAAGCAAGTGATAATGAGAATTTTACCGAATGCAGTGAAGAATATAATTCTACGGATTCTACGGATAAACGATAACGTCAATGATAACAGTCATCTTATCTTGCTACTTCAATAATGTGCATTTTTTTGCAGCTAAGTTTTAATTAAGTTTTATTCTTTCCTTAAACTCATTTGATCAGTGAAAAAAGATTTATTTATTATCTCTTAAAGATTAGATTCGAAGGTTTGGTATTTTCTGATTTTTTTTTGTTTTTATTTTTTCTTAGTTTATTCACTTAACGTTAAAATTTTTCTACATTTTCTATATTTTTATCTTCCCATATTTATTTTAATAATTTTTTTTACTTTTTTTTTCTAAGTCTATTTCTCACCATTTCTGATTAAATTCAAGTCGTTTAATGATAGAAGTGAAAATGACTCGCCAGCTTTGAGCCGGATTTTTTAAAGCCGAAAGATAGACTTAATTATTCCAGGCGTAGAATATGATCAGTAATGGCGCTCCAGAATAAGAACAATTATTGAGCGATACGCTTTGCATTTAATTTCCTAATTTTGTTTTTTATACATAATAAATAATAAAAAATATTGGCTTTTTATTGCTTATGATTTTTTTTTTTTCATTTGCTTGCTTATTTAAAAGAGAATTTAGAAATTGAAATAGAATTTTTTTTTTGAAGCATTTGTATTATAAAAATTTGTTGAATTTCGCTATTTTTTCTATTTTTTATCGTTATTTGAGAAAATTTTGATATAATCGTTTATTCATTAATTGCTTGTAAATAGCTTTCGCTTATCTGCGCTGCTAATTCTTATTTTTTTTGCTATTTCGTATATTTTATTTGACATTTAATTAATTAATTAATTAGCCAAAAAAGAAAATCAAAAATTGCTAAAAAATTCTCTCTCAATTCGAATTGTTTCAAATTCACCTTTAAATTATTTTGAAAAATAAATTTTTTCTCGCCCATTTGAAAATTTTCTTAGTTTTATTAAATAATAATAAATAAAAATTTTTATTCACTTTTTAATTTAAAGTGCTAATTAATTAATTAAGATTAATTAGTTAATGAATGACTAATAGCTATTAATTTTGCATATTTTGCATATTTGTAATTTTTGAAATTTTTCAGCAAATATCTTTTATTTGCATTATTAAATATGATACAAATAAGAGAAGATGAAGAACCCGTGCTTCGTTATAATAGGAAACAATATGAATGAATTAACTATTAATATCACAATATGTGAACAAAAATATTATTCAAAGGACGACAATTGGGGTGGTTAAAAAAAAAAAAAAAAAGGAAAAAGAAAACCATTTAAAAATAAGGTTAATGGTACCCGCAAAACAAAATTTTATGAAATATTTTCATATTTACTAAATAATTTATTCTATTTCTTTTAAATTACTAAAATTATTAAAAGAAATTATTTTTTATTTTAGAGTGTTGAAAATTAAATCTAAAAAAAATTTGGAAAAAAAAATTTAGAATTTTCTAGTTAAAAATTTTTTAGTTTTATTAAATTTACCATGAAAAATTATTTTAAAAAATTTACGATTATTTATTTTTCGGGAAAATTCAAATCGGAATTATCGAAAAATTTTGGATATATGTATAAATATATATATATATGTATATTTTTTTTTCAGTTGGAAAATTTTCTTTTTTCTTTTTTTTTTTATGAAGAATTCAATTTTGCATAACGCATTCCATTATTGGTCGATTCCCTTGAGATTGCATTATTGGCGATTTCTAGTTCAGCATTTTGCCAATCGATTTCACCAGCACCACCACCACCACCAGCACTATGAGAAGACAATCCACGAATTTGCACCTCTGTACCGTAGCCAGGATTTTCAAAAGCAACACTTGGATCGCGATCCGTGAGTGGACTTCTTTGCCAACGGCGAAACATTTGCGGCAAAGTTATTATACGTGATGTATATAAAATGCCAACGATTGCGATAAGTAGAACGATTAAAATGAAGCAAAGTGGTAGTACTAAGCTCGATCGACTGCGTGAATATTCTGAAATATTCAGCTAAATGAAATATTAAATTTGTTAAATTCAAAATCTAAAATTTAACATTCCAATTGTTATCACTGAGGCAAATCAGTAGGGGAATTTTCGATGTTCGATTTCTTAATAAAAATAAATTTAATCATTTGAAATGAAATTTATACAATTAGTGAGGATTTCTTTTTTTTCATAAATTAAAATGATATTTTAATTTTTAAAATTTGAAATTTTTTTATTAATTTAATAAAATTTTTAATTCGAAAATTAAACCCGATGGAGCATTTAAAATTTTCGTTTCAACAAATGGTGAATGGCCGAGGGCATTAGCGGAAACCAATGCAAGATCATAATTTGTGTTCGGCTCGAGATCATCAATAATCATTTCATTATCAGTTGTCTTCTTTACGATAAAATCATCGTCACTATTTTCTGGCCGATAATAAACAGCATAGACTTTATATGAGCCTGGTTCAGCTTCGTTCCAGTGGATCTTAAATAAAATTAAAATTATTAAATTCATAATTTAAAAAAATGTAAAGAAAATATTCTTTATTAAATATTTATGCAAAAAAATTTCTTTTTTAAGAATTTTCCATATTAGTATGTATTTATGTATGCGTATATCCAGGAGAAATTCAATTATTTCTTTAAAAAATCGAATCCAGTTTTTATTAAAATTTTCCCGAATCCCGTTAAATATCGTCCTCTAGTCTCTAAATCTGGTTCCTCCAGAAAATCTTACCCCTAAACTTAATCCTAATTCGTTTCTTAATAATTTCTCTTAAGGTTCCATTTAAAGTTCCATCTTCAAACCTTTCTTCAAACTTTGCTCAGTTACTCATGCTATATCCCATTAACACTCATCAAAGACTCGTTGAGTTCCTCTAATGCTTCACCAAATCTCACCGTAATATAGAAATGCTGCATTACGCAACATTACAACACCTCCTTATTAGACATAATAAAACCACTTGAAATGTTCAAAGGAGTATTTTAAAGCTTTAAAAATATTTATAATTCCTTTAACCCACTTAAAAACATTGTCAAACCAAACCGTATCTGTTTTTAAAAACAAACAGTAATAATTTATTAACTCCGATCCATATACCTTCCGCCATGATACATGGTACTATGGTACCAAAAATCCCAATATATTTAGAACAACTAAACAAAATTCTTTAAAATTTCTTAAAAATTTGTTACAATGCCTATGAAATCTGTTCGTTGAAAAATCTACCATGTTTATGCATTTTTCCATATTCTAAAGTTCTGTAAACCAATATTAATATCATTTTAAACCCTATAAACTGCTTTAAATTCTTCTGCTTTTATGCCACTCGTTACCACTTTGCTACCTCGATGATCCGCGAATGATCACATTAATTTTACCAAAGCCATAGTAGTAATTACTGGAAAAGGAGAATAGCAGCGACAGTAGATGTCGAAAAAACTGCAGAATAATAAAGGAGAACTATTTCATGAACACAAAATATTTCGTCAGGAATTGAAATGGCCTTAAGAAAGCACAACGAATGAAAAAATATTATGCGATATACTAGGATTTGAAGACAATTCTGTACGCTCTATGTAAGGATGCATCTTTTTTTATTAACAATTAAATTTAAAAACTTGCATAATGTGTTTTATGTAAGAATAATAAAAAGAAAGGATTGAGAGAATAAACCTTTATAGATCGATGAGATAGATTTTCATAATGAATTGGTCCAGGTGCAGGCGGTGCACTTTCATGACCACGAATCATACATGCAACGGCTTTTGCAGCAAACATAGAGCAATGTGGAAGATCTATTTTGCTATTACTACTACATAAACCAAGACATTCAGATGGAATATTGAAATCCATGCAACATCGGCGATGATCACGTCCATCTTTTGCACATTCAATTAGTGCTAAAAAGTTATATTTATTTAATGAGAACTATGAGAATGGTGCACAATTGGTATATGTTGCGTGACTCGTTTCATTTTCTTAGCACCATTCTAAAACACACAGCTATTAACTTCACGGGGCCTAAAATAGAGCTTTATTTGCCAGTTGGATGACACTACAATTTTTCAAACTTCAGACGCTTCATTTTTGCATAAGTCATAGCTGTATTTAGAGAGCATTTAGAGGAGGTTATGGTATGGTAAGTATTTTAAAGTAAAATTTTCCATATATTTTATATTTCACCAGAAAATTTCCGGGTAATTTATGGGAAATATATTTTTATTTATAAGGATTTCGCCGATTCATCTAATAGACGAATGCAATCAACCAAACAAGAAATACTTCTAGAAGTCTTTCATACTGGATTAGTAATTTGAATTATGAATCTAAACAGTCTAATTAAAATCCGCTAAAATTATCTCAAAAAATCTCCTAAAATTAATTTTGAATATCTACAGCCATTGAAAAAATGTATTATTAATTCACTAATATGTTAAAAATATGATAATTGATAAATGATAAATAAAAAGTACCATTTGAATGAACCGAACAGTCATCATCAATAAATTCTGGATTAACCGAACATGCTTTTAAGCAATTATCTGATATTTGTGCATCGACACAACACTAAAATTAATTTTTGTGGATATTTATTAGTCTAAAAAGTATCGATAAAATGGCCATAAACCAGTGAGAATAAGTTTATTAATAAGAGAATAAGATTACCTGAAGAACAAAACGAGGTGATAACGGAAGGTCTGCTTTTGATACCACCAATTCTGCTTCTTTTGACACTATTACATCACCAAAACCTTTGGAACGGCAAGAATAAAAACCATTGCGACCAGTTACATTTTTGATCTAAATTATTAACTAACCAGTAAATAAATAATTAAGTGGTTTCCTTGGCTAGGCTTTTAGTAGGATTCGACAGTTTCCGCCAAATAGTCATTTGGCCACAAAAAATTTTACTTTTGCTACATGCAAAAGCCGAATCATAATGCTTTGAATAGATATAATAGTCGAAACAAACTAAAAAATAAGATTACCTGAAGAATAAATTCATCCTTAACCTTTAGCAAAATTTTAAAAAATATTCTACGTTAAAAATATATTCATGAAAAACTCACAAAAAGAACGAAATCGTATTCATTATTGGAAAGTTTTTTCATAAAAACTGGACCATTAATGGTTTGCATAGATAGAGAATTTTGACTCTGGCGATACGTCCAAATAACATTAGGCTCCGGATAAGCTTTTATAGTACAGTGGATTTCTGCCGAAAGATCGTCATACGCATTAATTTGTTGAACAGGCATCGTAACTTCGGGACCAACTATAATCATAATCATAGCGCATACACATATAGGATAACAAAAGATAAAAAAAGGATTAGTTTCAAGGATTAGTTTTTTAAAAACAATAGACCATTTGAATCATTCAAAAAAAAAATAGCCAATAAAATGTTACATTGGACAAAAATATGAGCGTAGGCACGATTCTGTCGCCCATCTGTATCCATAACTATGCACGTAATCCCATTAACTTTTTCATCAATGGTAATTGATGTTTCGATTGTCATACTTGGTGGATTATTATGGTACTTTAAAAACACATTGATTAGCTTGCAATTTTCAAATTTTAAAAATCAATCGTCATTTTAATTTGAGTTAAATAAGAGCGAAAAAAATTTATTAACAATTTATTTTTTTTTCACTATCTATCTCTTGAATATATAAAGAAAAGAATTCATAAAAAAAAAATGGACCATTTTGGTTCCAACAATAAGATCCAAATTTAATGCATTTCGACTATTAACAGAACATTTTAAACCAATTTGTTGTCCAATAAAATACGTCCTATTTGTGTAATTCGGATCAATTATTATCACCGGCTCAGGAAGAGATAATTCATCTGAATATTAAGCAATTATTTTCTATAATGAAAAATTAGATTTTTAGATGATTCTAATTTAAAAGAAAGCAAAAAACACTGAAAAATTTAGCCAAGATGAATATATCAAGTTGATATCATAAGTTGATAGAAAATTGGTGAATTCACCGAGATATAAAAAAAAAATGAATACCTGGAGCTGCAAGTATTGTTATAACTGATGAGCTTCGACTAGTAACACGACCATCACTTGCAACAACATAAACTTCATAAAGTTTGTCCAAGAATAAATCCTCCATAACGTACCATTTATCGTTTGTTGTCACCTCAAATAACCTTATTATTCTTATATTCGAATTTATAAGTAGTTACGATTGATCATAGAAGTCACTGAATTACCGTTGTCCAAGAAGAAACTGGAGTTGTTGGAACCAAGATATTTGCTGGTACATAATATACATAAAATATCGGTTTTTGATTTATAAGCTCGCCATTATTTCGTCGCGGATCCCAATCCCATGTAATATTTATACGTTTGCCATAATTCCAGGCGACTCGCAATTTTGTCGGTGGCATAGGTTTGTCGCCCATTTATGAAAAAAGATAACTTTAAGTTAGATTGGATACGAAGACATTGACTGAACTATCTACTAATAAAAAATAACAGTTAAAAAGTTAAAAAATTAAAAATAATAAGAAATACCATTATCTGTTAAAGTTTGGAAAGCAATGCTAAGTGATGGTGGACTTGAAGCAGATTTACTATATGAAATTATGTGAGCTGTATAGTTCGTGCCCGATTCAAGATTATCGAATTGATATGAATTGGTCGAAGTATTAGCCTAGAAATTTTTTTTAAGAATACCAATCAAGCAGGCCAGAAATTCGTGGACCAACCAACAGAGCAAACGTAGCAGAGTAGACTAAAACAATGGTAGATCAGACGCGTTTGGATCAAGAAAAAGGGAAGGGCAAGCAAAATAGAGCAGAATCAAATAAAATTCCAAAAAAAATTGAATAATGAATTTCTTAACTACTTAATATAAAATAAACCATCAAATCTATTTCCTGTTTTATCATTGCCTAAGCCAAATTTCTTCTGCCCTGCTTAATCTTCTAAATAAATAGAATGAGCTAGACTATGGCTATGAAATATGAAACATAAATTGATGAAGAAACTGATAATTGATAAGCAGATTGACTGGAAAAATGAAATCAATCTTCAAATTAATACATAAATAATGTAGATTTATTATAGAATACCTGATTTTTAAGATTGAAATTCAGTGGCAGAAAATTTAGAAATTTTTGTAATATTGGTCTGATAATTGATAATTGATAAGCAAATTCCCAAGTAAAAAAATCTCCTTCAAATCCCTTTTACGTAATATGGTGGGAGATTGAGGTAAAGCAGATAATTTTTCAGATAGTTTTGATAAGACTGGAAAGGTAGAAAGTGTTGGCTGCGATTTAAACGGTTATTATAACATTATTCCATATTAATCCCTCGCCTTGAAGATAAGATGGCTTGATGGATTGTTGCTCAATTCGGAGCGCCGGTTCTAAGGTTCTATTCCCCATGGGAGTAAACCTATCCAAAAATTCGTCACATTTTGTTAGTCATATTCAACTAATATATAATATGTAACAAAAAATTCGTTAATTCATAAGAATATTTGTAATGAAGGAAAAGAATTTATAAAATTCACCTTTTTATATAAGCTTCCTTGCTTAAAAAGTTGCACTTCATATTGTTGAACGGATGCATCGGATGATAAATCCCACGATAACAGAACAGATGAAATATTACGAGAAACAACTTCCAAATTCGAAACTACTTTCGGAATACTTAAATATCTAGCAAAATAACATTTCGAAAGTAGTGGCGCATGTGATATGCATTCCTTCTTTAGAACAAAAGGATGTCTGCATGCATCCATGCAATCACTTGGCAAATCTATAAAAAATTACAATTTAATCAAATTAATTAAGAAAAAGGATAACTGCATGAAATATAAACTGATAAAGATAAACTGATAATTGATAAGTTAAATACCAAATTCTATACAACATTTGCTATGATCATGTCCATCTGACGCACATTGAACCCAAAAATCGGAAAATTCCGAACATTCTTCTGTTAACGAACTATTATAATAACAATGTTTTAAGCAGTTCTGTGAAATTCCTCGTGATCGACAACATTCCTCAACCGTTGATTCCTCATTTACAGCTAAATTTGAAAAAAAAACCTTATTTAATATCTTATAAATTTTTGAGAGAATATACAATCTATATTAATTTTGAAAAATTTTTAAATTTTTTTTTATATTATATTTATATTAAAATTTAAATTTGTGTTGAAATTTAAATTTAAACTTATATTAATTTATATTAATTTTATATTAAATTATTAGTAAAAAAAAACGAAAATATAACATTTCGGGCAGCAATAGGTGTCAACATCGGAATTTTTTGCCACAATACATTCATACGATATGGGACATTCACGAATGCCAGGAACACAGTTATACCTAAAATTATTATTGGCTTCAGTTTTGCAGCCATAAGAAATAGCCAAAAAAAAATAAATTCTTAATCGCTAAAATATTATCGAAATTATTTCGATGGAAAAAAAATTTTTTTCAGAAAATCGAAAATAGAATTTCTCGAAATTCTAAAATTCTAAAATTCTGTCTACAGAATTTGAAAAGGAAATTGTTTTTTAGAAACATAATTTTTTTAGAAACATAAAATAAAAAAAGAACATACTTATGGCCATTGGGATCATAGAGAGGCTTTCCAGTCTTGCAAATTGCAGAATCGTATGGATTTGTGAAAAATATCTGCGATGTCGAATACAAACTATCACCTGCGCTACTATGGCTTTGTAAATATACGGTGTATTCACTGTCGGGATCCAAACCATATTCTGTGTGCGGTGAAGTAACATTATGAATCTTTAAATATTAAACCTTTGTTTTTGTTTTCTCGGATATAAGATATATATTTAAGTGTTTTGTTTTGCTTATTTTCATGTTTTATTTCTCAAAATTAATTAATAAATTTATTTTTTATAAATTTATTAATTCATTGTGAACTATTCAAATTACTATAATTTCGGTTAGAGCGATCATTATTCCTGGCTATTTCTTTCTTCCATGCACCTTGGATCAGACAAATTCTGCTAGGGGATCAATTGGCAATAGAGTTAAAGAATCATCGGGTTTGTTTATTCTTGCCGGGAATAGAATTTCAGTCCCGAAAACAGCTACCACTGAGCTATTCTCATTAGTTAGATTACCAAATATCAAATTTCTTTATTATACAGCTAAATGCTTTCAACCTCTAGGAAAAAAATATCAATAACGCATAACGCAATAATTCTTTCTTAATTGTTAAACTGTAAAAACTATAAAATACGAAAGAAACATATATACTTCAATAATTTCAGCACCACGGCTATTCTTAACGAGAAAGAGAGAAAAGGATTCAACAAGATGAGCATTCGATTCTGGCTCTTGCCACTCGATTTCCACCGAATCGTCGAATACGTTCACCGTTACATTCACAGGTGGCGATGGACGAGTCTCTGAAAAAAAAAGCCAAAGTAGAAATAAAATTATTCAAATTGTTTTAATAGTTTTCTAATTTTTATACCGTATCCTTGACGAAGACACTGATAAATAGCAGGAATATCCAAATTTAAGCAGAGAAGCGAATGTACAGATAGCGCTTCAGGAAGACCGCCACAGATTTTGAGGCAGTCGTGTTGAACACCTTTTCTGATACAACAATCCGTATGATTTCGGCCATCTGCGAGGCAAGGACTTACCTAAAAATTTTTTTCATTCATTCTAAATCGATTTTAATTTTAGTGGTGTTAATCAACGACGTGTAATATGAAGAAAGTTGATTTGTATGCGATTCGTATTGTTCAGTGAAAAATGTTATATACAAATATTGCACCACAAACACCGATTAATGACTTCAGCAATGACATTCAAGGACATCAGACGAAAATTTAATGTCACCTTCGACCATTCGGAACGGCATGACGTTGATATGGCAATTGTTTCAAGTGCATTTGGCATACTCTTTATATTACACATTTTGGACACGCAATATGGAGATGCGCCATTCTTTGTGCAACAGTCTGAAAATTTTGCACAAATTCTTGTTTCCAGCCTTAATAATAGATTTATTGGCCAAAACAATAAATAAATATGTAATAATTTGAGGGTAATGAAATTAATTATGTCATGCATTTCAGTAATTTAGCCTAATATTCAATTTCTATTAATACTTGTGAAAATGCGCAAATAAATATAGCAAAAGCAAGTAAGCTAGAATAAACTAAAACGTTCAATAAAAATTATATTTAAAATTTAGAAATTTAAATTTAAATTGAAAAAAAAATCTCGAAAAAATTTTTACAGTAAATGTGAGAAGAGAAAATTTTTCTTGAATTGTGCAAAATATTAATTTTTCTTTGTGTTTTTTTTATTTTTAAATAATAAAAATAATTTTAGTGCAAATAATTATTACACAAAAATGAAAAATTTTTTATTATCCAAGTGCAAAACAAAAAAAAAGAAAAACCGAAATTTGTAAAAGCTTTTTGATGAAACAAAAATATTGCCGTAAGTAAGCGATAATTTTAAAATTTTAAAAAACATTTTAATATAAATTTTTTGAAAAAAATTAGCATTGTTGAGCATTTTTCTCATTAAAAAATAAGCATACAAATATCGGTGAATTTTTTTATTATTAAAATAAATTGAAATTATTCACTATAACTGTGAAAAAAAAAATATTTAATAAAATTATAAAAATACTATAAAAGCACGAAATAAAAAAAAAAGAACATTCACATGCATTCATATTCGTTTATTTATTTTAACAAAAATTCATTTTTCATTTTCTTTTTTTTTAATGCAAAATAAGCTGAAATAAAATGAAATCAATTTGAATTTCGGGAAAAATTAAGCGACATGCATTTAGGACAAACTCGACCGACTCACATGCAAAATTATTATAATATACATGCACATATATATATTTATATAATGTTAAGAAGAATTGATAAGATTTTTTATATTTTGGATGGAATATACAAAAATCATAAAATGCCTATTAATTCAATTAATTCGCTCTAAGTTTTTTTTTTCTTTTTTATAAAACAAATATTCATGATAAGAAATGATTTTCTAATTTTGTTGCTGTCTTTTTAATCGCATTTCGATTTAAAAAATTAAAACTATTTTGTTGACTAATGGATTTAGGTGAAAATACGCTCAGTAAATAATGAGTGAACCGATTCTTCTTTTTTTTATTCGTATTAAAACGATCAAGAATAGAAGAGATACGTTCGATTTCAGGTAACGATGTATTCGATGAAGACGCTATCGCATTAGTTGTCGCAAGAGCTCGAGTTGATGGAACAGACATACCAAATTTATTCGATGCAGTTACATAAACAATATAACGCGTCGCTGAACGCAAATCTTTTAAAGTAAGACAAGTTTCAGTTGTATTCACCTAAATTTATGACAATTTATATCAACTGATAAGATCAAATAAAGATTTGATAAAAGCGAAATTCTGATTTCATTATGAAAATCTCTACTGGTACGTAATGACTAAATCTTATGTTGCTTCTTGTTTTTTTAAGGCATTAAAAATGAAAAGAGTAAAAGGATATAAAATGTCCTCAAATGATGAAAGAATTTCGTACCAGTACTTTGTGGAACCAACTGAAATTTTTTGCCTTTTTGATTTCATATTAAAAAACCGAAAAGAAAAAAGAAAAGCTCACCTCTTCAAATTTAAATTCTCTAACGGTTGAATCATTTGTTGTAGAATCATGCGTCACAAATAGCCATGTCTGACGTTTTCTTCTCAATTTTACACTTATTGGTGCTAACGTTGTGCTATCGGCGAACTCTTCGTCTGTACCTACATTTGGTTCCTCGTAATCACCAGAAAGTAATGGCATTCCACTAAAAATTATTAAATAAAATTATTAAATTGATAAAATTTAATTCATTTTTATATTTTTAAAATTTAAAATTGATAAAAATTTGATAAAAATTTAAATTAATTTTAATTAATTTTAATTTTAATTCATTTTAATTAAATTTTAATTCAATTTTATATTTTTATTTTGATATAAAAAATTTCTTTTCATATACTATTAAATTAAATTCAACGAAAAAATTTGCAAGAATCTCATAATATCGCATACGCCATACCAAAACTTTTGAAAAGAACGAGTGATGCTGGCTACTTCTATCGCCAAGGGATCCAAATAGTGTATTTGCCTAGGGCGATGAGCCAGAGGAACGAGTCTAATCAATAATGGTAAGTGCTCTTAAGAAAAAAAATTACCTTAAAATATATTAAAACTTACTCATCTCCACCGAGAAACGGAAATGAAGGTATTTGTTTATAGTAAACTGTATAGTGATCAATTCCAAGATGTTGATTAGACGACTGAGGTTGAGGAGGTTGCCAACATACTTTTAGTTCATCAGAACCAATAGCATTTACAATAAGATCAAGTGGATGGTCAGGATATGGCACTGCAAAAATCATTTTTTGAAATCCTCGCCTTATTTTTATTTGATTATTCTTAATTTATGTTTTAATTTATGTTCTAAAAAATAAGAGAATACTTTATATATTTGTTCACTCCAAAATTTTTCTCTATTAATTTTTTATAAAATTGATATAAAATTTTATATTTTATGAAAAAAGAAGTAAAAATGCAATTTTCATTTTCATCATAAAATTTTAAATTTTAACATAGTTTCATATCAGATAAAATTATAAAGAAAAAATTAATGAATTTGATTTTAAAAAATAATAAATCAAAATAAAAACAATAAAAAAAAAAAGAAAATTTCCAAAAGCTATTCTCCATTTCAACAAATAAACTTTCTAATTTTTCATTTTCATACGTGAAATCATAAAATGGATTTTCGAAAAATGTACTTTGTACTAATAGCCATAGTTCATAGGAGACCTAAGAGATCAAATTAGGAATGCATTGCCTTGGATGTTAATCTATCAATGTAATCATTAACAGTATTAGTATTAGAAAACAAAATGATCGCGTATAATTAATAAATCAGTAATAATTCTATTTTTCTATTTTCCCTATAAATATTCGAATAATTTGAATTTAATAAAAATAAATTTGAAAAAAAACCGGCAGAAAATAAAATTATTTGAAAATGAAAAAGAAAATTATATAAAAAATAAATTATATAAATATAAAAATTTTTAAAAATAAAAAAAATATTCTTGTTCATAGGAGAAATTTTCATAGGAGAAAGGAATTTTAAGAAATAATTTTGCTCAAAATAAAAATTTATTTATAAAATTTTTCCAAAATTGCAAAAGTCTGAAAACAATAAGAAAAAGGAAAATCAATGATTTCTCGATTTGATAAAAAATAAATTCAAGAAAAAATCGTTAAATCACGATTAATTGCTAAATGTTAATAGAAAGAGAAAGATAATTACGGAAATAAAAATCGCATCTGCCAGTAAAAATATTGACATATTATTTATTAGTTGAAACTTGGGTTCAATTTTCCCTACCCACTGGGAAGTCAATCGGCATGCAACTCTATTCCTTAAGTTTAGCGGTCTCTTCCTAATAGCCTCAATAGCCTTAATGTGGTCAAACAGAATAGTTTAAAGAATAATAAAAATAAAAAAAAAAATGAAATCTTACAATAAGCTCGATTGTAACATTCGAAAATTTCGGGTAAATAATAAAGACAAAGTCGATGAGATTTTCGAAGCATTTGAAAATTTCCTGAACAAAAATCATAACAAAACGATGGTACTAATTGAGTTTTACAGCACTGCACATGACTTCGATTACCTCCTTCAGTTGCGCATGATAAAAAGTTTTTATAGTCATCCGTTTTACAACTGAAATAATTAAATATTTGTTTATTTTTTTAATAAAAATTTTAGAAATTTATTATAAACTTAAATAAATTTTGCATGTTTATTTTCTAAATTCTGTAAATTTATTCAAATTATTAAATTTATTTGTTTAAATTTCGACAAATTATATTTATTTTTAAGCTAACAAAATGAATAAAAAAAAATTTTTGCAATATTATTTATTAATTTTTAGGAAATTAATTTTTTAATGTAAATGATAAATGATAAGTAAATCACCTCGTTGGATCGAAATAATGAATATGCATATCCTTTGGTTTACACATAGCTTTACATAGCGGCGAAATGCCTTTTTTTTCGCAACATTCACTATAATCATAACTAATATTTTCATGAAATCCACCTTTAAGCCCACTTTCTGAAAAAAAAATATTATAATTGCTAAGAAAAAAATTTCCACTTTTTTGATGGGCTACCTTTACTTATCTAAGCTTAGTTTATTAGGCTTCAAAAAAACCTAATATTGAACGAGTTGGACGAGTCAAATAAAGTGAGCTTTGAAGCCAAAAATGAGCTTTTAGAAGAAAAAGAATAAGAGATTATCACAAATAATTGGAAAAGATTCTTCTTCTTCCAACAGCTCTCATCATTATTGCTTAAGCTGGATTCACTGACTATAAGGATATGAAATCTGCAAGCTGTTCGGTCTGATGCCATCGCTGACAATAATAGAAACCAATCTTCTGAGCCCATATATCGCTGGTCTACCTATGCATTCAAAATCTTTCCTAAATGTGTCAATCTAAATCTTGGACTACCTTGGTTCTGACGCCATCCGCCACCGGGTTTAGCAAATAACGAAATATATACCAACTCTTATCCTGTGGTGGACGACGAAGAATGTGCTCTAAGCAACAAAGATAATGTGATAGTACTGTTCATACAAGTGGGATCTGAGCGAAGGTGGATGCAATCATGTGCGATTTTATCCTCTCGGCGGACCCGTATGACATATCTTAGACATGAATGATCAAAGGCAAATAGTTTCTCAATATCCTCCACTCTCAATGGTCATGTCTTGCGACAATAGTAAATATTACCAAGAACTTCCAATTGAAATTCGAGATGTTCAGGCTGATTTGATATTTGACATCGATAACGACCAGCATCATCAAACGTTAAATTCTTTAGCACAAGCGTAAATTCCTCTGATGTACATGGACAGCATCGATTATCGAGACAATGTGAACCATCTTCACATAATTTCGAATCGGAACATGAACTCGCACAATCTGAATTATATATGCGACAAAATAAAATTTAAAATTAACTAAAAATTTACTTATTATCTCAGTGGTTAGAAAAGAAATTGCAAACCTTTTTCTCGATCGTATTCAACTCTATGTTGCAATAGGACAGTATTTGGATCGACTCCAGAACTCGCCAAGAAATTCGTGGCATTAAAAAGTGGTATATCATCTTTGAACCAAACCACCTGAAATAAGAAATTTTATCATTTTCTTATCAAAAATTTTATTATATTTTATTTATTTTTATTTATCACTTTCACCATTGAGTAGTAATGATTATTAGATTTGTATTTACTAAAAATTAGAAAAAATTAACCAAATTTCAAATAAAAAATGCTTTTTTGAATAAATTTTTAAATTTCCGACAGAAATTTTAAATAAAAAAATTTGAAAAAATTTGGTTAATTTGGTTAATTTCTTTTTTCATTCCATTAAAATTATAAAATTGATATTATTTATTAAGGAATCAAGAAAAATTGAGAATTAAAATTAATGTTTTAAATTTTTTTTTTAGCGATTATCGATCATTAAATTTTTTTTCCTTTATTACTGATTATGTGCACTTTAATATATTAATTAATTAATAAAAAATATAGCATTATTAATAAATTAATAATATTTCATCAATTTAAAATAATTAAATTTAAATTTAGCTATTGCGTCAAGAAGACTTACTGTAGCTGCATGCCGAACACACGTACTGAGTGTGCATTCAAGTCTTGCTGCAAAACCCTGAATCACCGTCACATAACCCTCGTCAGATGTCGTTAAGTGGAGTTCCAAACATTGTATATAAGAAGAAGAAAATAATAAAAACATACAAATAAAAAGAAACATTGCTGAAATTTTTCGGCTTAAAAATAATGAGAATGTCAACGATTTGAGAATTACGACATTGCATGTTTTATTAGTAAATAATCGATGAATACAATATATATATATATCCTTTATTAATTAAAATTAAAATTAATTAATTAAATTAATTAATTAAATTAATTAAAATAAAAATCAATTAAAGTTAGTAAGAGATAAGCTAAAATAAAACAATTCGACCTTAAATATGCTTATAAATATATAAATGATATGCTCAAGCATATTATTTTTTTAATCATTTAATCATTTTATCATTTTCTTTCAGCAAAATTTTTGATATTTACAAGGAAATAAAGATAGAAATACTGCCAACATCAATCAGATTTCACTTTTGAAAAACGTAACACGTGTCAGAAAAAAGGAAAATTAGGTAAAAATCAAATTGCCTTCTCTCTTTCGATAGAGTACACCCACCACTCGACTGCTGGACTACTGGAGTCCATAATCATCACCTCTTGCAATGAATGATATCTCTTAACACTTTATGACAATCTAATCTTTGTCATTTCATTTTTATTATGACTTCTAAATCTTCCATTAGTTCTCACCATTATTAGTCACGCTGGCCTCGTTGGCTATAAGGGTAAGATGTTTCGACCAAGTTGCGCGATCTGATATCATCATTAATAGAATAGAAGCCATTCATTCCTTTTTCCACTCTCTAAGTTCATATATCGCTGGCCCGCCTATACGCTCAAAATCTTTTCTATCAGTTGAAATCTTAATTGGTCCAACTTCTGAAACTTATTTGAGAAATTCCAAACGATCCTAGCGACTCGTTTTTATTTTCTATTTCGCCAAGTAATAAAAATTTTCCTAGTCTCAGCGACAAATCAAGCGAAAATTAGAAATTAGGTGAACGCTCTTCGAAAAGAAAAGAAAAATTCCAAAAATTCCAAAAGAAATAAGCCAACAATATTATTTGACGAATAAAAAGAAAAACAAAAAGCGCAACGGCGAACAACAAATGGTATCAAACGAATGTAAAAAACTTGATGCAATAAAGAAAGGAAGTTGACAAACGAAAAGAAAATTCGCAAATTGTCAAAACAAAAAATATAAAAAATTTTTAAAAAATTCACAAAACAATAATCACATATGAAAATTAAATTTTTAAAAAATTATTATTTTCATTAGAAAAAATAATAAATAAAAAATAATAAAAGAAATTATTTGAACTATTATTGTAATGAAGAAAATAAATGAATTCAATTAAAACAAAAAAATTCATTAAAATAAATTTAAAAATTTATTAGAAATAAAAAAAAATAAAATTTTTAGAAACTTTTTAAAAAATTAATAAATAATATTTTTACAGCAAAATGTAGAAAACTGATCAACTCAACTGTTCCAGTATTCGAAATATTGAAATATTTATTATATGTGTAAAGTGTTAATTTAAGAATTCTAACAAAATAATTTTTGAATCATACTATTACCTTTCTTTTCTTTCTCAATTTCTACTCAATATTTCTGATTTAGGCTCGTTGACTTTCGCTGACTTAAATGGAGCAAATAAATTTTGTCAAAGAATAATTTGGTATTAAAACAAGCGAGTTGCTAGGACAACTCGGATTTTTGAAAGAAAAATCAGTTTACACTCGCAAAAAGTGGAACCGCAGCACCAATGCTTCGAAATGAGAGTCAACAACTCATATAACCCATTCGCGATCTATTTATTTATTTATAAAGAAATTTATTTGCCGAATTTTTCACAAAATTACTCGTTATGATATAATTGTATTGACAAATATTAGCAAATTAATATTAAAATTCATTCATAAACTCAAAATTAAAATTAAAATTATTTTTAGAAAAAAACGGAAAAAATCTTGGAACTCGCTTATCATCAAATTCTTTTCTCGTGAAAAGATCTAATTAATCAGTGATGTCGATAAAATGACTAGAAATGGTGCATTGCCGTTATGATGATTGGTACCAAAAATCCAGGATGGTTCGAATTCGAATCGTGTCACGCTTCGTTAGGCAGTTAACTCAGAGGATTGTTGCTCAATCTGAAACAGCGATGTTGAAATTCTATTCCCTGTAGGAGTGAACCTGTCCTTCAAAAATCCGGTTGATGCTCGTGACTCATCCTATCGCAAAATTTCTCTCTCTGGCAAAATTTGCCTGATCTGATAAGCCAGCATAGCGATTCCTATCAGCAGTGGTAAGTGGTGATTAGCAAAAAAAAAAACAAACATTACGAATAAAAAATCGAATCTTTAAAGAAAAATTTCAAACAAGAAAATTAAATAAAAAATAGAACTAAAAAAAGTAGCTAAAATGTAAATTAAATTAATAAAATTATTAGCAAATTTTAATTATTTAATTATTTCAATAAATATTTAATATAAGAAATATTTTAGAAAAAATAAAAGAAAATTTAATTTTATTGATAAAATTATTTGAATAATTGAATGAAAAAATTTTCTTAAATATTTCTTGAATAAGAAAAGCAAAAAATAATAATAAAGAATAAAAGGAAATAGGTAAGTAATTAAATAAGCAAGTAAGTAAGCGTTACCATGGCTTCATCAATATTTTATTTGAATTCACCTTTAATATTCTTTTCATTTGTTTTCTTCGATAAAAATTTTATGAAAAATTCTTTTCTCAAATAAAAAAATAATCGAATAAATAAAATTTCAAAAAAAGAGAAAAAAAAAGATAATTTTAATAAATTATCGAATATAAAAACTTTAAAAAAAAAAGGAAAAAAATTTAGGCAATTCATTTGGGATATATTCATTCATAATTTAGCAATATTTCCATTGTATATATTAAAACATTAAAATCAATATGTTAGCCTTAGGCTTAGTAAAAAATATTATTAAGAATAACCAAATAAAATCAACAAATGTATAGCGAAAAAAAAAGAGGGGACAATAATGAAAAGCAAAAATCGTCTTCTCAATCGTCTTCAAAATAAGAATTATTTTCTTAATTATTAGCCATGCGTTATGGTTTTAGGAAAAATAAATAAATAAATATTGAATAAATGAAGCTAATATTTCAACATCAATTATTTCCAAATAATGAGAAAATAGCAGAAAGGGAGCATTAAATTTTACCGCCTTAGGACAAATATCGCCTATCTTCCACAAAGCCAATTTTTTTCGGAGATTTTTTAGCTTGAAAAATTTAAAAAATTTATTCGAAAAAAAAACTTCAAATAAATTTTCATAATAAACGACTTATAAAAAGTTTTTTAAATAAATTGTTAAAGAATTATGCAATTACTTTTTAATATTGTGGAATTATGGCTGACATCTTTAGAAATTTAATACTCTTCAAATAATCGCCTTAATCACGTTGAATGCTCGGATAATTGCCCACGTAATGTGAATAGAGAAAATCCTCGGCCTTTTTTCTTTGCACTGTTAAGTAAACACGAGGACGAAGATATAGCATAGCGTATAAATATTTAATATTTCTCGCAAATATACATTTTATCATCAATGATATTGATAATGAATGATAAAAAAGAGAAAAAAAATTAGCAAATAATATCATTACAATTCGCATAAAATGGCAAATAATTGTGATAAAAACTCTAATTATTCAATTAAATTTATAGCTTCTAAAATCAATGAAAAAAAATTTAATCTAAAAAAAATTTATTTCGAAATTATAAATTTAATTAAAATTGTTTTGGAAGAAAAAAGAAAATAATTAAAAAGATTAGCGGAAATAGGAATTTAAAAAAAATTTTTTCAAATTTAAAAAAGACATTGCAAATAACTTTCATTTCTTTTTTGGCAAAAAATACGAAATTAATCAAAATGTCCTTTTAGGAATCTTTTAAAGAATATCTAATCGCAGAAATAAGTAAAACAAAAATTGAATATTTTTTTATTAAAGATAATCTGCAAAATATACTTTTTATGCCATTCTATTATACTATATTCGAGCAGTGGAGGTCGAGTGGTTTATTTTCTGGATGAGCTGCGCTTAGCTATTTTCTAGTGAAGTTGGCATGCAAATAAATTTTGTGCCAAAGAATCACTTGATAGATAGAAGTACTTATGAATTATCAGTATCAATAGGTAGGCTTGCTGGAAGCACACACTTCGAAATGTAAATAATCTGCTGCATTATTTTACTTCTTAATACTTGAACAAGCAGGCGAGTGCCACAAGATATGAACCATTCTACAAGAATAAAGTTGCCACTGAATCTTTCTCATTCTCTTAGATAACGACAATTTGGAAACGATGATTGTTGTTAATATGAAGAATTGTTAAGGTTAAAAGCTAAGAAATTATTATTAAAATTTGGAAATCTCTCTATAAAATATATAAATTTACAGTTTCAAATATGAAAATATCGAAAAATAAATTTAAAAAATAAAACAATATTTATAAAAATTTCATTGTCTTTAAAAAAAGAAAAAATAATAATAAATCTAAAAAATTATTTTTAATTAATTATTAAAAATCATTAATAATTATTAATAATTATTAATTATAAATATTAAAAAAGTTATTAAAAAATAATATTATTAAAAAATATTTTAAACTGAAAATATTTTAAATATTTTAACTGAATTAAACTGATTGATATTTGAAAATTGAAATATTTAATAATAATAATATTATAAAACGAAAAAAAAACTTTAAATGTTTAAAAAATATTGAAAATATTAAAAATTTTAATGAAAATCAAAATTTCTTTCAGTTAATCGTTTATTTATATAAATATTAATAATGAAAAATATTAATAATATTAAAAATTTTTACAAACTATTAAATAAATAGTATCAAATAAATCACTATTTGCTTTTCTTTTTTCAAATTTTGCAAATTTTAAACATAAATTTTAATTTTAAAAAAAAATTTTTTCACTTTTTTTTCCTCGAGAAAACATTTTTTGTTACTATAATATTCCATAAATATTTAATAACAATTTTAATAAATAGTAGAAAAAAATTTGATTTGAAAATTTGAAAATTTATAAAAAAAATTCGAATAAATTAATCATTTTAAAATCCAAATTTTTAATAAGAATAGTCGAATAATTTTCGAAATCAATTATAACGAAAAATAATAAAATAACAGCTAAAACAACAAAAGTGGTCGTTTTATCCCTATCGAAAGGATTTAAATAATTCCATTCTAATTTTTCATCGCAGAAAAAAAGCTGAAATATTTATGGATAATTTTCTAAAGAGATTTCGATATTTTCATATTTAAAATATACATTTTATAGAGAGAATTACGACTGGCGAATATTTTATGAAAATTCAATTTCGTTGCTGTTATGTTTGTATGGTCAAATACGGAGGAGGGACAACAATCGGTCATCGACATTTCTCGATTTCTCGAATTTATTTAATAAAAATGTATGTCACAAACGCTATCAACCAATTTATTGTTCCTTCTAATATCACGTAGCGAACAAACTAAAAATCTTTAATAATTATTATAAATACAACGCCAAT